AGCCCTCCTCTTTTTTTGAAAAAAAAAAAAAAAAAATGGGGCAGGGAGGGATAAATTAGGAGTTTGGGATTAACATATACACACCACTATATATAAAATAGATAACCAACAAGGACCTACTGTATAGCACAGGGAACTCTACTCAATAACTTGAACTCTACTCAATAACTTCTACCTATAAGGGAAAATAATCTGAAAAAGTGTGTGTGTGTGTGTGTGTGTGTATATATATATATATATATATCTGAATCACTTTGCTGTACACCTGAAACTAACACAACACTGTAAGTCAACTACACTTCAATAAAAATATTATAAATAATGCTGCGATTTTGAAAGAAAAATTCTGTCTGTCTCTCCCAACATGGCCAGGTGTGGGGTGGTGAGCTTCACGGGTCACCAGGAACAGCCTAGCAGCGCAGAGGCCATGGGCACTGCAAGATCCTAGGTGTGTCCACACAGTGGGATATTATTCAGCCATAAAATGGAATGAATCACTGACACAGGCTACAATGCAAATGAACCTTGAAAACATCACGCTCAGTGAAAGAAGCCAGACACACAAGGCCACATATTGTATGATTCCATTTATACGAAATGTCTAGAACAGGCCGATCCATAGAGATAGTGAGTAGATTGGTGGCTGTCAGGGGCTGGAGGAGGGGAATGGGAGTAAGTGCTGACGGGTCAGGATTTCCTGGGGGAGATGGAAATATTTTTGAATTAGAGGTGAATGTGCACTAAATCCCACTGAACTGTTCACTTTAAAATGGTTGATTTTATAAGTGAATTTCACCTTGAGAAATAAACAAAAGTATTAGACTATAAAAATATGTGCAAGGAAGTCCCACAAAGTTCAGCTTTTCCCCAGAGTTTCTTTCATCCTTTTCCTTTTGGAGTTGACCCTGCCCCTGGACACAGCGGGCACCAGACAGGGCTGGTGAAGGGAGGGATGCTAGCACCTTGCCCAGGTCGGAGGCTAATGAAATGATGTGTATAGAACGGTGTACACAGATGTACACGTCACAGATGATCCCCGGCGGTACTCACGGGCTGGTCATCATCTTCACGGGCCGGTGGCAGGAGATACATTTCACCCGCTCCAACAGTTTCCTGGAAGACACCCAGCTCCGTCAGCTGCTGCGCCAAGCCAGGCCCTACAAGGCCACGCCTGCCCCAGGCAGTGTTTGCGGCGGAGGCTGCAGGTCCACCTGTGCCTCAGGGCCAGGGCTTCCCCCACATCCTACTCCCACTGGCCCAGCCCCTGCACTCAGCTCAGCTCTACTGGCCCCTGCTGACCCCCATGTGCGGCCACTTGGGGCAGCAGCAGGGGTAAAAGTGTGTTTAGTTTCTCTCCTTGCCCCAAACACAAAGGAGGTCTTTAAAACCAGGGAAAGCTACTCTTCACAGTGGACATTTGGGAGCATGAGGGGTGATCTGAGGACAGGAGCCCCCCCAGGAACATCAAGTCTCTCTGCCTGGGGCTCTGTCTGGAGGGGGTGGGGGCCTGGCTCTAGTCCCAGATCTGCCCAGGCTCCCTCTGGGGAGCCCCTTCCCTCTCTGAGCCTAGGTTTCTTCACATGAGCACCTGGAGCCCCCTCTGCACTCAAAGGCAGGCCTGCCCATCTCTGAGCCCCTGGGTGCTTGCAGCCCCATCGCCCAATCCAGCAGCTGGGAAGCCCCGCCCCCTCTCTCTGGGTCCACAGGTCTGAAATCCTTCCTCCCAGAGTTCAGAATCCACTGGGATACCCCTCTTGTTTCCTCTCTGGAAAGAGAGACTCCTAGCCTCTGGGAGCTGCACCCCTATCCGGGAGAGGCTCACTTCCTAAAGCCGGCAGCACTGTCGGGGTCAAACCAGAAGCCTTCAATCAGCAGCTCCCTGACTACTTTCCAGACCTCATCCATGTCTTTCTTCAGATCATCCAAATCACTGCGAACCAGCTGTGAACAGCCAAAGGGAAGAAAAGAGACTTTAGTCAATTAATTCACACTCTGCCTTGCTCCAGAAAAGGATTTGCAGCAACTTGCAAAGTTATGTAGAGTGTAACAAGATTAATCAAGAAAAGTGAAGTGGTGAAGGAAAGGGAAAATGACAATGCTTGGGTTAAGGCTCAGACCCGTAATGCATGCTCTTCCTGGAGGGGAGCTGCAAAGTGAGCTTCCCGGCAGCCAAGGCAAGGAAACACCGTCAGTTACTGCCTCCAAAAGACAAACCAACCCCACTGCTATTCTGAGTGCAGGCCCGAGAAACATTCTCCTGATGGTTCCAAGACACTTGACCTTCACGCATTCAACACCTATTTAATGAGTGTAAAGTGTATATTCAATGGCTTTTAGTACATTCACAGAGCTGTGCAACCATCACCACAATAAGTTTTAAAATGTTTTCATCATCGCAAAAGAAATCTCATACCCCTTAGCAGTCACCTTTCTTTTCATCCCAAACCCCCAGGCATAGGCAACCACTAATCTACTTTCTGTCTCTAAGGATTTGACTATTCTGGACACTCCAGATAAATGGAACCACACAATCTGTGTCCTTTTGTGTCTGGGTTCTTTCATTCAGCATCATGTTTTCAAGGTTCATCCATGTTGTAGTGTGTAGCTGTACTTCATTCCTTTTTATGGCTGAATAATGTTCATTATATGGATATACCACATTGTGTTTATCCGTTCATCTGCTGATGGACATTTGGGTTGTTTCCACCTTTTAGCTATTGTGGAAAATGCTGCTGTGAACATTGGTGTGCAAGTTATTTTTGTGGACTGTTTTCACTTCTCTTGGGTATCTACCTAGGAGTGGGAGTGCTGGGTCGTATGGCAACTCTATGCCTAACTTTTAAGAAACTGCCAGACTCTTCCATGGTGGGAATTTTGAATTTTTAAAGTGTTCCTTCCAGTGCCCAGATCTTGGTCCCTAAACACCATTCCCCCCAAAGGCACCAAGACTCCACAGAGGAATGGCTGATTCAGGTCTGAGGAAGGGAATGTAGAAGATGAGCCTGGAACATCTTGTCATAGGAAAGCAGGACAAGACAGAGGGTCACACCCAGGGGCTCAGGGGCCAGCTTGCAAGCCTAAGATGAGACCATGTGAGCGACAAAACAGTAACTTAACTGATTGAACAAAGTGAATATTTAAAAACTCATGATTCATAGTGACACCCACAAAAAAGAAAAAAAATAGAAACTCTCATTTGCCGCCATGTATCGGAGGTGGCTACCGCACCAATATTTCACCCTGAAAACTGGTAATTAAAGGAAATAATTCACCATTATCTGTCTTTCCTGCAAGAACCCTATTTCAGGGTAATCAGCTCAAGTTGATGATGGAAAGCTCTTCTTTACAGATTTCTAGCTGATATAGAAGCAATGCTAGGATTAGAAAAATCACCATTTTGTAACCCGTAATGAAATAATGGGTTCAGGCAACAATCCTCAACTTAGGAGGAAACTATCAATACCAGGAGAATGGCCAACGAGGCAATGGCCATTCCCAGAGTGACAGAGAGTCACCCCCAAATTACTTGCTGCTTATAAGGGGAGAATATACGTTTACACGGGTGGTATCAGCTGGGCTAGCACCACTGGGCCCTGACGAATCTTCACTCCGGAAGGGACCACCTGCCAGCATCAACTTACCTGCTAATCAAACACTACAGGAAGCACATGGCATACCAAGAAGATTCTTTTCAACATTCTAAACTTAAAAAAACTCAAAAACTTAAAAAATATATTATTTATTTTTGGCTGCGTTGGGTCCTAGTTGCAGCACGAGGGATCTTTCGTTGCAGGGCACGGGCTCTTCGTTGTGGCATGCGGGCTTCTCTGTAGTTGTGGCATATGGGCTCCAGAGCACATGGGCTCTGTAGCTGCAGCACATGAGCTCTCTAGTTGTGGCATGCAGGCTCAGTATTTGTGGCACACACGCTTAGTTGCCCCGCGGCATGTGGGACCTTAGTTCCCAGACCAGGGATTGAACCCGCGTCCCCTGCATTGGAAGGCGGATTCTTAACCAGTGGACCACCAGGGAAGTCCCTCAAAAACTTTTTTTTTAATTTATTTATTTAATTTATCTATTTTTGGCTGCATTGGGTCTTTGTTGCTGAGCACGGGCTCTCTCTAGTTGTGGCAAGCGGGGGCTACACTTCGTTGTGGTGCACGGGCTTCTCATTGCGGTGGCTTCTCTTGTTGTGGAGCACGGGCTCTAGCCATGCAGGCTTCAGCACCTGTGGCTCACGGGCTCTAGAGTACAGGCTCAGTAGTTGTGGCGCACGGGCTTAGTTGCTCCGCGGCATGTGGGATCTTCCTGGACCAGGGATCAAACCCATGTCCCCTGCACTGGCAGGTGGATTCTTAACCACTGCACCACCAGGGAAGCCCCCCCTCAAAAACTTTTAAACCTACAGAAAAGTTGCAAGAATAGTCCAAAGGACACTCCTATATCCACTGAAATTCACCAATTTTAAACATTTTGTCATGTTTTCTTTTTCTATACATATGTATGTGTGTTTTTGTTTTTTTTCTGAGCCATTTGAGAGTTAATTGCAGACATCACTATATATCACCCCTACAAAAACTTAAACAGAGAATTACCATACGACCCGGCAATTCCACTCCTGGGTATCTACCCAAAGTAGCTAAAAACAGGTGTTCAAACAGAAATTTGTATGTGAATGCTCACAGCAGCATTATTCAAAAGGTGGAAATAACCCAAGTGTCCATCAACAGAGAACAAACAAACAAAATGTGGTCTATCCATTTGACAGAATATTATTCAGCCTAGAAAGAAATGAAGTTCTGGGACTTCCCTGGTGGTCCAGTGGTTAAGACTCTGCCTTCCAATGCAGGGGGCATGGGTTCAATCCCTGACTGGAGAACTAAGATCCCACATGCCACACAGTGTGGCCAAAAAAATTTAAAAAAGAAAAGAAATGAAGTTCTGGTTCATGTTACAACATAAATAAACCTTGAAAACATGATGCTGAGTGCAAGAAGCCAGACACGAAAGGTCACATACTGTGATTCATTTATATGAAATGTCCAAAATAGGGTAATCCAGAGACAGAGAGTAGATTAGTGGTTGCCAGGGGCTGGGGGAGGGGGGAGTGAGGAGTGACTGCTTGATTGGCCTGGGGTTTCCTTTGGGGGGATGGAAATGCTCTGGAACTAGATAAAAATGGTGCCCACACAACACTGTGAATGTAACAAATGCCACAGAATTAGTCACTTTATAATAGTTAATGGTTAATTTTATGTCGTGTGAATTTTAGCACAATTAAAATACACAAAGAAAAGGAGAGCAATGAGGATAGGATCACTTCAACCAACAAACAACAAAAAAGCTTTCAATCAGGAAAAAAATTCAGACACATAGAGAGGAGAAAAGACTAGAATCATGAACCCTGATATACCCACCATGTAGATTTAATCATTATTAACATGTTGCTACATTTGCCTTTTTTTCTTTGTTTCTTTTCCTTTTTTTTTCCATGCCGTGCAGCTTGTGGGATCTTAGTTCCCCAACCAGGGATCAAACCCGTGCCCCCTGCAGTGGAAGCACAGAGTCCTAACCACTGGACCGTCAGGGAATTGATGGAGTGTTTTTTTAAAAAGTTACAGAAATCATAACATTTCACTCAAATATTTTAGTTAATTTTCTTACATGCCTGCAATACCATTATCCCATCTAACATAATGAGCAGTCATTCCTGATGGTGATCTAATTCCCAGCCCATTTTCAGAGTTGAAGCAACTGAACCAGGAAACAAAGTAAGTCTCCTCGTGTGTTGCATTTGGTTGTTGTGTCCCTTGAGACTCTCTTAATCTAGAACAGTCTCTGTCCCACTTTTTTTCACCCTGCCATTGAATTATGGAAGAAAAACAGGTCAGTTGTTCTGTAGATAACTGAGTTACTCCGGCTGTAATCCTGCATTGATTTGTATGATTTCTATGACAAGTGTGTTCCATATCTGTTTTGCTTATCATCATATCCTCGCTAACCAGCATCAGAGGTACCCAATAGATGGATGATGAGTGAATAAATCCTCATTTTACAGATGAGAAAACTGAGGCTCAAAGAGGTTCTATAACTCAAGGCATACTGCCAATCATGGTGGGGCTGCAACTCGGACCCAGAGCTGCCTGATTCTAAACCCAAGCTCTTTTGTCCTCACCAGCCACCCCAGCTGCAGGAACCACACAACACTGAAATAGCTGGCCTGACTGTTCCTGTCTTTCTATTGGATGGTACACATTAAGGCTATGATTTCTTATCAACATTTCCCCAGGGTCTGGCTCAACACAGGTGATCATTAAATGATGAATAAACGAATGACCAGCAGGACACCCCCTCTGCCCGCCATGTCCCTTTGCTTGCGTTATGGTGGTCAGCCTCCAAGATGCTCCGCAACTATACCTCTTGGTATTCACACCCCCATATGGTCCCCTCTCGCACTGAACAGGGCTGACCTGTGTAACCAACAGGATAGTACAGAAATGATGGAGTGTGACTTCTGTGGCTAAGTCATCAAAGATGTTGCAGCTTCTGTCTTGCTCTCTTGGACCATGTGCTCTGGGTGGCCCACTGGCTGCCATGTTGTGAGGCCAGTCAAGCAGCCCTAAGGAGGATCTGTGTGATAAGGAAGTGAGGAGTCTTGCCCACAGCCATGTGAGGGCACCATCTTGGAAGCAGCTCTTCCAGCTCCAGTCAAGCCTTCATGTGACAGCAGCCCTGGATGACATCCTGATTACAGCCTCGTGGGAGACCCTGAGCTACTCAGCTAAGCTGTTCCCAAATTCTTAACCCTCAGAAACTGTGAACGTTTGCTGTCTTAAGGGACTAAATTTCAGGGTAGTTTGTTACGCAGAAGGTGGTGACTAATACAGGGGTCCTCACCTTGGTGCGTAGGTCTTTGTCCAGCTGCTCCACAGTCTTCTTCCAGTCATCCTCATTGGCCATAACCCTGAAGAGCATGCCCTGAATTGTCTCATTCAGCTCCATCGCCACTGCATCCAGGTCAGCCCGGCTTCCCTTGCCTGCCAGGGAGCGCCTGTCGGCTTTCTAGAGAGAGATGGGACTCAGGGATGCAGGGCTGCTGGGGTGGGAGCAGGAAGAGGCTTGAGGAGATCAGACCACTTTGGTCAGTTTTTCTAGTTTGGGACCCTAGATACCCAGCCTTGGCTTAAATTCAACCTTGGGGTCTCTGTTGGCTCAAACACAACCATTAGATCGAAGCAAAGGTTTCCTGTGATGGAGAAGTTGGGCCATGGTTTTTAAATTCACATAAATTGTCACAAACTCTAATTCAAAAAGATACATGCACTCTATGTTCATAGCAGCACTACTCACAATAGTCAAGACATGGAAACAACCTAAATGTCCATCAACAGATGAATGGATAAAGAAGATGTGGTGTATATATATACAATGGAATATTACTCAGCATTAAAAAGAACAAAATAATGCCATTTACAGCAACATGGATGCAACTAGAGATTATCATACTAAGTGAAGTCAGAAAGAGAAAGACAAATACCATATGATATCATTTATATGTGGAATCTAAAATATGACACAAATGAACCTATATATGAAACAGAAACAGAATCATGAACATAGAGAACAGACTAGTGGTTGTGAAGGGGGAGGGGGTTGGGGGACGGATGGAATGGGATCTAACTATTATATATAGGATGGATAAACAAGAAGGTCCTACTGTATAGCACAGAGAACTATATTCAATATCCTATGATAAACTATAATGGAAAACAATGTTAAAAAAGAATGTATATATATATATGTATATGTATAACTGAATCCCTTTACTGTACAACAGTAATTAACACAACATTGTAAATCAACTATACTTCAATTTTAAAAAATTGTCACTAATCCTGAGTTAACTGAAAATAGGAATTGATGGAACGACTTTTGAGAACTTCCCCCAAACTTTCTATATGATAAAGGTGGAAGGAGACTCTGGAAGTCTGCCTGCCTTTGTCTTGGCTGGATGATTCCATTATCCTGGTGGGAAAGCTGGGCTCAGGATAGGGGAGGGGGTAGGGAGAGGAATCTCTGCTCACTCACCTCTTTCAGCTCCTGCTCCATCGCACTTTTGTCTGCCTTGTACATTTCTAGGTTTTTAATATGAGAATGGACAACCTAAGAACAGAAGCAGAGGGCATGTCAGCTATCCTCGGAAGTCCTGAGGATAGCCTCGACCTCCCACGTCCACCCTAGGAAGGAACAATGGGGCCAGGTGGACAGCAGGCGGGTGGCACATTGGAAGGCTTGGGCTCCAGGTGCCCAGATAAGAAGGGAAGGAACGTGGGACTTGGCACAAGAAGTCCCCTTGGAGGTGGCCTCACAGAACTATAGGTGGCTACACAGGAAAGGAAGGAAGACCTGAGGAAGGAAAGCATAAACAAACACTGATGCTTTGGGTCCCTATATGTTTAAGACAAGTGCATCTCTTCTGATCTGTAATGGGGTCCCCGTGAGAATGACAGTCAATTCATCCACCAAGCACTTATATGCCACACATGCTGTGCCCCAGGGTCAGGGGAAAACCTTATTTCCCATCCCCATGACTCCATGAAAAAACAACTCCCTGCATTAATTCTGCCCTCTCTCCACTTATTGGGCCCTCCCTATGACAGCAGCAGACAGCTAACCTGCTTGGGAAGAGCCTCACATCCAATGGGCCATGTCCCCAGAGGGTAGGGTCACTCCTCCTCCAAAGCTGGCAGCAGGCTTCTACTTCTCCCTACATATCTGGTCTCCCTTTTACCCTCAGAAACAGAACCCCCAACTTTTAGCTGGCATCTGGCAGACCAGAATCATGACTATATTTCGCAGCCTCCCTTATAGCCTGATGTGACCACTGAGGTGTAAATGGAAGTGGGTCAGTGTCCTCTTCACTGCTGGCTTGGAAGCAGAGTTAATGACTGGAGTGCCAGCAGCTGTCTTGGACCATGTGGTGACCTTGTGAATGGAAGTGACACACCATGGAGTTCAATACCAGCTCTGAGTTTCTTGAATGTAAAAGAGAGATACAGTTATGCCTTAAGTCAGTTATTTGGGAGTTTTATGTTATTCAAAGATGAACCTAATTTTTTTTAATATTTATTTTTTTATTTTGGCTGCACAGGGTCTCAGTTGTGGCATGCGGACTTCTTAGTTGCAGCATGCATGCAGGATCTAGTTCCCTGACCAGGGATCGAACCCAGGTCCCCTGCATTGGGAGCGTGGAGTCTTTACCCACTGGACCACCAGGGAGGTCCCAAGATGAACCTAATTCTAATTAATGCAAAGCTCCTTCACATCCACCTTGCCCCAGATGGGTCTCAAGGTCTAGGATGGATGGCGGAGGTAATGGAAGGGAGATCCTGCATCAGCCTCGTGTCAGGCTGCTTCCTCCAACACCACAGTAGCAGGGAGCTGACCTTTTGGAGTCATCAGGCCCAACATTAACACTTAGATCCCCACCTGGCTCTTCCTAGTTAAAATCTAGAAATAAAGAGGAGCCGGGAGCCTCTAACTTCTACTGCCACAGTAACCTGCGTACTGGGTTGACTAATGTCCTCCCCAGAATTCATGCCTGCCCAGAACCTGTGGACATGGTCTTATTTGGAAATAGATCTTCGCAGATGTAATTAGTTAAGATGAGGTCATACTGGATTAGGGCAGCGCACATGGATAAGGAGGCCACGTGAAGACACAGATATACACACAGAGAAGAAGGCCACGTGACAACAGAGGCAGAGATTGGAGTGATGCGTCTATAAGCCAAGGAACACCTGGAGCCACCAGAAGCTGGGAGAGGCCAGGAAGGATCCTCCCCTAGAAGCTTCAGACAGAGCAAGGCCCTGCCAGTACCTTGATTTGGGGCTTTTAGCCTCCAGAACTGTGAACGAGTACATGTCTCGTTTTAAGCCATCCAGTTTGTGGTCATCTGTTACAGCAGCCGCAGGAAACTGGTACACCCACTAAGTGGCAGAATCGGGATTGAAACCCAGGCCTATCCAACCACAATAGCAGGCTGCCTCCCAACTGGCTGGTTACTCTGCCTGAATCTGTTTCCTCCTAGTTCAAGTGGCATTAATACCACTCCTGTCCCAAATATGCTGAGGGGACTAGAAATGGCACTTTCCTAGGAGAGTTGGCATTTGATACACATCAGCTGTCTTATCCGTCCCCTCCTGCACCAAGCCAGAGTCTTGGATATAATAGTTTGTTCCAAGAATGGCTTTGGAATGCAGCCTCTGGCTTATAAAAGACACCTGTCCACTTGCAAAGGGCAAATAATGTTTTCACATTATTTGAGTCAGTAAGAAAGAGTTCAGGGGGCTTCCCTGGTGGCGCAGTGGTTGAGGGTCCGCCTGCCGATGCAGGGGACACGGGTTCGTGCCCCGGTCCAGGGAGATCCCACTAGAAAAGTGGTACAGATGAACTGGTTTGCAGGGTAGAAATAGAGACACAGATGTAGAGAACAAACGTATGGACACCAAGCGGGGGGAAGTGGTGGTGGTGGGGGCAGCTGGTGGTGGTGGGATGAATTGGGAGATTGGGATTGACATGTATACACTAATATGTATAAAATAGATACTATTAAGAACCTGCTGTATAAAAAAATAAATTAGATAAAATTCAAAAATTCAAAATAAAATGGGCAGAAGACCAAAAAAATCCTCTAACCAGGCTCAAAAAAAAAAAAAAAAAAAGAAAGAGTTCTATCCTCACTTATTTTCCTGCTGGGTTCTTAGTGGGAAACACTCCAAGAGGAGCACTCTAAGGTGATGGAAACATTTCCATCTTGATTGGGTGGTGCTGACATGGGTGTACCAAGAGGCAAAAATTAATCTAGCTCTTACACTTCAGGCCTGGGCATTTTACTGTGCGTAAAGCATACTTTCATTGAAAGCAAACAAATACTACCGTTCCCCCGCAAAAAACACATAAGGGCTTTGGCGCTGTCCATCTTGTTGACTGCTGTATCGCTGGTTCCTGGAAGGGCGCCTGGCACACAGTGAAGGCTCAATGACGTTGGCTGAATGACTCAGGGAATGAATGGGGATTTCTCGTGCCACCTGTTACATCCAGAACATTTTCTCCCAGGCATCCAGGTAACACAGTAACAGCGGTGTTTCCTCTCTAGTCCTGATGTTGCGACAGAACCAGGGCAGAGGTGTCTGCCCTCCCTCCTTCCTCTACTGGAAGGGCTCCACAAGGCTGCTGATCTCTTGCAGCCCATGTTCATTTAAGAACTATTTAATGAAGCGTGCTGGGTACAAAGCCCAGCTCCTGATCCTTCCAGGGTTCACTTTTATAAGCAATTAGTTCTTGCTGGCACAACAGGCAGGAAGGAAGTCTGGACAAAGGCTGACTTGATCCATTTGGTCTGTTTGGCCCAACTCCTCTTGACTTTCTCTCAACGAGTGACGAGTGACAGCTCCTTGGAGGCATATCCTACGCCCACCCCTGCCACCCCGAGCAGGGCAGGACATGGTGCTGGACACACATCAGAAGTGCTGAAAGAACTGGCCCCAGTCTCTGACCAGGAAGGACACCAATAGGTCCCTAGGACACTGCATCCCAGTCTCTCTGAAAAGCAGTGGCTAAATGAGGGCGCAGAGTTGGCAGGAGACTATGTAGTTCCTGATCCTCGTGCTCACAAAAGTCTGGGCCTGAAACCATGTATTGGGAGCCCACACACGGCCCACGCACTCCCTTCTTTCCCCGCTTGGGCTGGGCATCGGCTCACCTTCAATGAGCTCCTCTCCCGTCCAAGTTGCCCTGTGCACGCTAGCCTGGTCACTCTGTGTGACTGCCTTGGGAGGGGGAGCTGTGCCCTCCCCTTTCGCTCCCCACACCCTAGTGCATCCCACCAACAGCCCCCCGACTTGGAATCAGAAGCCCTCTATGGAAATCACCTCAGGTGGATCTGTTTGGGATTTTGTCTCTTTATACCCTAGGGTCATCTCCTCTCACTGGGAATAACTTTGATCCTTTCCCCAAGGGTCTGGGATGCCTCTGTGACAAGGCACAGATGGGACTGGTCCCGAGGTCATCAGGGCAGGGTCATCAGGCCAACTCAGTGAGCCCAAGGGAGAAGGTGTCTGGTTGAATGACCCCTGGAAGGTGCTCTGCATCGTCCTCACATTTCTCATGTCAGACTCTGCTGTTCAGGACAGGCCCCATGGTGTGAGAACTCAGGAACAAGCCAGTTTAGGGGAAAGGTTATGAACATGAACAGTTGGCCCAAGAAATCCTCTTATCCACTCATCGATTCATTCAGCACATTCTGAGCCTTCACTTTGTGCCAGGCACCCTTCTGGCGTGGGTGACCCAAGTGGTGAACGAGACAGATCCTGCTCAGGTCCTCTTGTTTATGTGTTGGGGGTGCAGGTGGCGGGATTTGTTTGCTTTTCATGGAAGTGTAACTTACACACAGTAAAATGCCAGGAAAGTGTCCCTGGTTCCCCTGCCTTCAGGGTGTCTGTGAAATCTTTGGGGAGAATCTGAATGTCCCAATGAGGAATCCTCCCTCCTCTGGGCCCTTCCGGACCTCCAAACCTTAAACTCATCCAGGCGAATCTGGAGCTTGTCCACTGCCCTGTCCAGCACGAGGTGGTGGTCCTTTATCATCTCTATCTGGTGGCCCCAAATTCTCTCAAGTTCCTCCTCCTACAAGGGGGAGACATAGACACAAGAGGCCTCTGCTTCTGAGGTCGCCACGGCCAGGAAGGGACTTCAAGAGAGTACCAGACCAGGGCGTCCCCAGCCTGCCAGCCAACTGCCACTTTAGACACTTGTCAGAGGGAACCATGTGGCCGCCCACCACTGGGAGCCTTGCACCAGCCAGGGCAGACCTGCCTCCGCGGGGCTGCACCTCCCTTCTGGGCCCCACTCCCTCCCCAGGGCTCCTTTCAGCTCCAGGACAAACGCTGCATCCAGGAGGGCAGGGCCTCCACCTGGCTCTGGCCATGGTGTCTGCCATCACCTCAAGCCATCGTCTTCTCAAATGCCTTTTCTGCCCGGGACACTGACCCTCATCCTGGATTTCTGGAGGCTGCCAATCTTTTCTTGCAATACGTCCGCCACTGTCCCAAGCTTGGAAGAGGCTCCCATATTAGCTGAAAGCAAAGGAGGGGGTGGCTGTCGGGGGCAGAGATGGGGGAAGATGCTTCATCTAGAGTTCCACCTGCTTCTGTTATATTTAAGGCAGTGCTTTCCAACAGAGAGATGCTGTGAGCTTGGGGGCCTTTGAGGTCATCTAAAATTTTCTAGTGAAAATTTTAAAAAAAAATCTAAAAATAAACAGGTGAAATTAATTTTTTTAAAGATTTTTTTTTTGATGTGGACCATTTTTAAAGTCTTTATTGAATTTTTTACAATATAGCCTCTGTTTTATGTTTTGGTTTTTTGACCCCGAGGCAGGTGGGAGCTTAGCTCCCTGATCAGGGATCAAACCCACACCCCCTGCATTGGAAGGTGAAGTCTTAACCACTGGACCACCAGGGAAGTCCCAGGTGAAATTAATTTTAAGAAAATATTTTGTTTAACCCAATATAATCCATGTGGGTTTTGGGGGGGGCCACACTGTAGGGCATGCAGTATCTTAGTTCCCCGACCAGGGACTGAACCCATGCCCCCTGCATCGGGAGCTTGGAGTCAACCACTGGACCGCCAGGGAAGTCCATAACCCAATATAATCCAAAATAGCATCATTTTGGGAATTCCCTGGCAGTCCAGTGGTTGGGACTCCATGTTTTCACTGACGAGGGCCTGGGTTCAATCCCTGGTCAGGGAACTAAGATCCCACAAGCTGCTCAGCCAAAAAAAAAAAAGCATCATTTTAATATGTGATCAACAAAATGATTAATGAGATATTTCACATTCTTGTTTTCGTATTAAGCCCTCAAAATCTGGTGTGCACTTTGTGCTTGGACCATATGGGAACTTGAACTTGCCCCATTTCAGATGTTTGACAGCCTCGTGGTTATCCTATTAGGGAAACCTCTCTGGAATTTATTGCCCTCCCAGAAATGGTCCTGAGAAAAACAATGGAGTATTTACTTGTGGGAGTTTATGAAATGTTTTATCTCATAACAAGATGCAAAGGGGGATTTAACAAAAAAGGAGAGGGGTGAAAAAAAAAAGTGCCCTATATCCAGTTTTGGATGAGAGGCCAAAAAGTGATGTACATGACACAGCTAGGAGGGTAGGAAACACTGCAGCCAAGACACATTCACAACCTATTTTTAGTTTTCTTAACAAAAATGGCAACTGGGGGCTTCCCTGGTGGCGCAGTGGTTGAGAGTCCGCCTGCTGATGCAGGGGACACGGGTTCGTGCCCCGGTCTGGGAAGATCCCACATGCCGCGGAGTGGCTGGGCCCGTGAGCCATGGCCGCTGAGCCTGCGCATCCGGAGCCTGTGCTCCGCAACGGGAGAGGCCACAACAGTGAGAGGCCCGCGTACCGCAAAAAAAACAAAAACAAAAACAAAAACAAAAACAAAAAAAAATGGCAACTGGTCAGAAGTAGAGTTTGGGCTATTATGGCTTTATGTTTTATATTTAAATTCATGACTATCATAACCTAAGCTGTGCCCCAGAATTCACAGAGATAGATGTGGTTCTTTTTAGCTGCTCAAAGTTCTTTTTCAAGATCTGTGGAATGGCACTGCCCATCACGAGTGGCGCCATGTATGGATTTGACTTAGGCTAATTCAACTATTACACCTGGCAGAGAGCGAAAAAGCAAGATAATGATTCAAAGAGGGGAGGACAGTGGATCTCAAAGTGGGTTCCCTGAGCCAACAGCAGCATAAGCAGCATCCCCCAGAATGGGTTAGAAAGAGAAATTCTAGAGCCCCACTCACACCAACAGGTAAGATCTGGGGCTGGGCCCAGCAGCCTGTGCCTTACCAAGCGCCCCAGGGATGCTGAGGTGAGCTTAAGGTTGAGAACGACTAGGGTAGGCCATTCTCCTCTCCACTCCCCACAGTGAACATATGCCCATCATGGGCATGAACTGGGATCATAAGTCTATTGGTCCTACTGCCACCTAGAACATGACTGTGGTCTTTTTTTTTTTTTTTTGCGGTACGCGGGCCTCTCACTGTTGTGGCCTCTCCTGTTGCGGAGCACAGGCTCCGGACGCGCAGGCTCAGCGGCCATGGCTCACGGGCCCAGCCGCTCCACGGCATGTGGGATCTTCCTGGACCGGGGCATGAACCCATGTCCCCTGCATCGGCAGGCGGACTCTAAACCACTGCGCCACCAGGGAAGCCTGACTGTAGTCTTTAAGAAAACATATGTTTGCCCAGCTGTTGTTCCTAATCCCAAACTGACCACTTCATCTGGGGTCTGTTCAGTGCTATTAGACACTCTGGTTCACCTGGACTTATCAAAATACAGCAGTACTATTTTATGGGCTATTGAAAGGGAATTTCCAAGAGTAATTTTGACTTGTGATTTTCCTTCTTGAGCACCAACTTGAGACCCTAACCACCCTTCTTCCCTAAGATAAGACCTCACTGTACATTCATTGTAAAATAATAGACTAGTAAGAGGCTAATGCTTAAGCCAAAGGAATGAATGGCTAATGGTTGAATGCACATTTTGTTGGGGCAGCTAAAGGAAGGAGAGGAGGTGCTTTTCAAAGGCCACAGGGAGGGCCTGAGCCCTTGTTACCCTTCCAGAAGCCAGGCTGGGCCTACCTAGATAAGTCATACGCTGATGCAGGTTGGATGACAGCTGGGCAAAACTCTTCTTTCAGGGAGTCATGTCTAATGGGCATCTGGGCTATGTGGCTCATGGAATACCTGACGACCTTCTTCCTGTCTTCAGGGGTCATGGCCTGTTTGGCAGCCAGTATGGCCTGGGACAGGGCCATGTTGGGAGGGACACGGGCAGAAGAGAATGAAGGAGAGAGGACGTCCTCACAGTCCACCTCCTGCAAATCTTCCATCTCGCCGTCCTCAGTGAAGGCCCCGCGGGAGGTCCCTGTGCCCAGGATGTCTGCAAGGACCCCTAAGGGCCCAGATGCAGCCACAGCTGTTGCTATGGTGGCCAATTTGGTGGCCGGGGTGTCCCTGACCAGCCTGGCAGCCTCTTTAGCTGCCCGGGCTGCCGATGTCACTGCAGCTGCGAAGGTGGCTGCGGCAGCAGCTGCAATGGCAACATTGGATTTTATCTGCTGAACCGCAGACGGGGATCCCTTAGGGAGTACTTCCGTGGAGGTCTCAGCCCTCGGGGCTCCAACCTGAGGGACTCCCACTTCCACGGAGGAATATTCCTCCTCCTTTTCTGAGAGAGCTGAGAGCTTGGATGTGTCTCCCTGGCGAGACCATGACTGCAGTAAATGAGGCTAAGCTGAGCCTAGTCCGTGGCCGGGGGTAGGGCCCTAGAGCCCCGGAGCTGGTCAGACAGGGAACCCGACAGGCCTAGGCCAGGCTGGAAATAGCCCAAGCTAGTCCCAGGCAAGCCTCTGGGAGGAGGCCAGCCTCGTGCTGGTACAGGCCAGGATCCTGATTGTGTGGGCTGAGGACCTGGGGCAGGCCCCAGTCCAGGGGCAGGCCCAGGTCCAAACGCAGGCCCAGGTCTAGGCGCAGGCCCAGGTTCGAGCACTTGGGCCTGGTCCGGCCCCTGGGCCCTGGGGAGCAGAGCTGCTTGGGCAGACTCCTCCTCCTGTAGCTGCCCTGGACTTGGTAATGCCAGATGGTCTCCAGGAACCGGGGCGCTGGATGGCCTCCACGACCTGGACGTGGCTAACTTATTCGTGGTACTCAGCCGTCTGGGGAAGGTCGATCTCTGCAACATGTTCTGCAATCAGCCACAGCTCGGAATCATCCAGCAGTTGTGGAGCAGTTCCCTGAGGAAGAGGGGGCTGGGTTGGCCAGGGCTGCTCCAGACCAGCTCTGCGATCACCCTGCCCACTCCTCACTCCGCCTTCCCCGACGCTCAGATGCTGCCTCTCCGCTTCCTCCTTCACTTACCGGGGTGAACATGGCCTCATGGAGGCTGCTCCAGAGCACCATGTCCTCAGTTTTGGGCATGGTGGTTATCTTGTTCTGGAGAGAAATCTCGGGGGGTGGGAAGGAGATTGGGAATAAGGGTCATGAACCCAGAGGGTGTGGTACCCTCAGTGGCTCCCTTCTCCATGCTGCCCTCCACACTTGCAAATAAATGGGCCTTTCCAGATTGTGTTCTCTTCCTATCCCTCCTTGCCCCCCAGCACCCCTGGGCCTGCAGGGCGGGGGTCTGGCGTGGTAGGATGGGCCCCAGACCCTCACCACTTCCCACTGCAGTGCACTCATCGTCCGGCTCTGCCCTTTCAAATCTTCAGAGAAAGCATCTATTCTTTCCAGATGCATCTGTCAAATGAGCCGGGCCTGTGAGCCAGTGGGTGCAAGTTCTGGTCCCAGCCCTGCTTCTCCCCCAGCTCAAATGCAAGGCCTTAGCTCTAGGTAACTAAGAGATGGAGAAGGAAGAACAGATTCCAAAACAAGTGTTTCCCACTGAGTGGGAAAGGGTTCCCTGGGCAAATAAGTTTGGGAAACGCTAGGCTTAAAAAACATTCAGGGCTTCCCTGGTGGCGCAGTGGTTGAGAGTCCGCCTGCCGATGCAGGGGACACTGGTTCGTGCCCCGGTCCAGGAAGATCCCACATGCCGTGGAGCGGCTGGGCCCGTGAGCCATGGCCACTGAGCCTGCGCGTCCGGAGCCTGTGCTCCGCAACAGGAGAGGCCACAACAGTGAGAGCCCCGCATATTGCAAAAAAAAAACCCAAAAAAACATTCAATGGGTTTCTATACTGAAGGACTTCTCAGAGCCTTTAATGGGCCAAAGTACCTTAAGAATCTCCAAGAGGTAAGCTGAGAAGGCATTGTTTCCCAAACAGATTGGGCCAACTGTCTGTTTTAGTGTTTCATGACAGTTTCCTGGCAGTGCCCTTTCTGCTCAGATGGGAGCTACACAGCCCAAGACTGAAGTTCTCACAGTTGCCATCATGATCAAATACGTACACTGACCTGTATATTAGGGATGATACAGTAAATCATGTTATTTGGGGACAAGTTGTAGAACCTCAGCCATAACACTAGCCTGGGGGTGTTGAGGCCTGGCTTTGGAGCCCAGCTCTGACTCACCAGCTGTGACCTTACACTTCAGGGATTCCATATCCTTTCTCATCACGGTAAGGAGTTAGAACATGTCTGGGTTGATATCCTTGTGGCTACAGAGGGAGCTAGAATGTATGCCTATGCCAGGTTTACTCCACTTTTCAGTGTGAACAAAGTTTTCTAGACAAGGAATAAGTATTCTCTTTCTGCTAAGTTGATGGTCCATAAGCCTGGAGTTACCAGGACTTTGGGAGTACCTGCGTGAGAATGAAGCCAACCCAGAGGAAAGCATCACCGAGGGAGAGATGTTGAGCACCTTGGTATGTGGTATGAACATCTTGATCTGGCTGTAACTGAAGGCATTCCTGACTTTTTAGTAAATGAGACAATACATTCTCTTCTTTTGCCTAAGCCAGGATGAACTAGGTTTCTGTCACTTACAAATGATGTCTTAACACAGCAGGGTGAGGATCATAGTGGAAGCTGCAGAGAGTTCACTGGGATGGACCAAGTGGCTCAGCCATGTCAGACCCCTTCTCCTGCCCCCATAGCTGTGTTCTTTGTCTAAGAACAGGCTTCTTGGATTTACCCTGTTACCCCAACCACCACATGTCCAAGCAGCATGGCCAGTATGAAGGATGCTGGGGAAGGTCTACCTTGTCAAACATGTCCTTCTGCATGGCCACATCCTTCCTGAGGGTTTCAACAGTGACCTTGAGTGCATAAATATCAGTGAGCAAATCCTGCAGGGTCTTCATGGACTGAAGAGGGAGAAAGGAAAGGAAAATGTGAAGTTAGGTGCAGCTGGGGGAAAAGGCAAGTAAAGTGTGGAAGCTCTCTGGTGATGGCCATGGTTCAAGAAGTCTTTTGGGCTCTTCCAAGGCCTAGGCTGGAACATATTCAGAGGCCAGAAAATGACACTGAAGTGAATCGTGCTCTGAGCTCTCAGGTGGCCTAAGAGGGAAAGA